AAACCGGTTGCATCGGTGAGTCGGAATCTTTGTTCTGTTACGTAACGGCAAATTTTTGGGGAGAAGTGCAAATAAGTAAAGCCAGTAAAAATGCAGTTGGATTTTCTAGAGTGCGTAGCTTTGTACAACACATTTTCATTAATTTGGGGGGGGAAATTAAGTTTTATTATTTAACATGCAAAATATCCCCGCAATTTTAAAAGGTTTAATGATTAAAATAACATATACACATTTAATAAAAATACAATATTGTTTTTGCATATTTTTTCTTTAAGTTTGTATATATACAAGTGTCCAGTTTCCAGTTCCCCCTGTACATATGATAAAAAGCTGATGTGTCATGAAAGAAACGAGAACTTTGGTAAAACAAATGATGCTTATGGTGGGAAAAATTTCAGAAGAAATAGAAGGAGGAAAGAGTAAATAAAGACGCCATCTTTAATCTACAGTTCGCCCGTGCATTTAACACATCTGGTGACGTGTTCCTGCTATTCATTTCGAGGTTCTCAACATAATCCAAAGATGGATCTTTAATGTAATCGATCCTGACTTGGCATCTCGATTTCAGACACTTTTTTCACCGACGTAGCTTGTCTTCTCTCTGACATTTCTACAAATATTTTGATAACAACTGCTTTGATGACTTTTTTTCCCCAGGTACTCTACTACATGAATTTAAGTGTGTTACTAGATTGACATCTAGGTCCCACCCGTTTACTGTTGAAATAGTTAAATGCAACCGCCACTTCTACTCCAATAGCTTCTTTTCTCATACTTCCTGCCTGTGAAACTCATTTTCGTTTACTTGCTTCCCAGATAAATACAATCTTTAAAAGTTTAAATGCAACGTCAATCGCAATCTTCTGTCTTCTTGAAACCCGTCCGTCTTTTTTCCTTTCCTCAATTTTCCTTATACTCAGTCTTTTTTCTCACTTTCACTCCTTGTACCTTCCTGCGTATTATTGGCATCCCTGCATAGCTTGGGGTGAAATGATTAAAAAAAAAATAGAAACCTACTGAGTTTTTATTCCTATTCTAAGGACATTCAAATCAAAAGCAATATTGTTTTTCGTTTGATGATATTGTAAGCTAAAACCGTTGTTAGTTAAAATAGCCCGGAAGATAATAGATTTTGCGACGCGGTGACCAATTGACACAATATGAATAATTGCATTCAAACAGTCGAAAATAACTTTGAACTCAGTGACATTTGAGAACAAATAATTATTCTTCAAAGTCTAACCGGAAGGTAGCAATTAATTTCGCCCGTTTTTCACTAAAAGTCGCGCCAGTAAGTGTAAACGGAATTTTGTTCAATATAAATGTGTGTCGTCAAAAATTGAATTCACGACAAGAAAATGTCTATCGTTCTAAGGTGAGGTATTTTAATCATTTCCACTATTTACATTGTTCAGACTGTTGTCCTCATATTTATTGCCACATTCACAAAATTTCAACCGGCCTACGCTCTGGCCTGTCATATTTCTGAGATGAGGTATTTCATAATTTATACTATTTACATTGTTCGGACACTTGTCTCATCATTTTTTATTGCCATACGCCCGGTTTACGCTCTGAACTTCTTCAGGATCTGTCTATATTTCTGAGTTAAGGTATTGTAATTATTTATGCTATTTATATTGTTCGCACTACTGTTCTCATCTTTACTGACATAATGAGACGTTTCGGCTGTTTACGCTCCGGCATTCTTCAGGTGATAGGAATTTCGAACTGAAGCCTTTATTTCGTACACCGGGGGAGATTGTTCTAGTTTCACGTGCCATGCCTCTTCCGGATTTCTCAGTATTATTTATTTCCCTTTAACTCAACTCCCTAAGTATCTATTTACCTAAGGACACATGGCCAATTGAAAAAAAGCGCTGGTTGAAGTAATCCAATAACTTGACCCAAAGGGTTGTGAGTTCAATACCTATAAGTATGAGGAGCCCAGTGAGGATCTTACTCACTGCTCAGTTGTAATGTTTCTTGCGAGACAAGCTTGCTAAGCATTATACCGCATTCAGCGGTCCATTATTATTGTGGTATGATCATGTAAGACAATCAAACCAGTAGAATCATATTTCAAAATTTGAGATTAAAATGCATTTATGACAATTGTCATTAAACATTTTGTCATGAGGGCATGCTTAAATTCAAAGGGGAATATTTTACATGTGACAGCATCCTATTGTGTCCAGATCTCAAATATTAGCCAGATATAAGGAATTTTTGCTTTACACCCCCCATATATATATATATATATATATATATATATATATATATATATATATATGTGTGTGTGTGTGTGTGTGTGTGTGTGTGTGTGTGTGTGTGTATAAAATATAAGTAAATATATATGTATAATTATTTATATATTATATGCGCGGTACTTATTAGAAAGCGCTCAATATCATAGATAGAGCTAACATATTTGGTTGGATAGATGTGAGTTTGTGACCCTTTTCACGCTTTAGCGATCGTCAGACAAAGACGATCGCTAAAGCGTAAAACCCAGGGTCACAAACTCACATCTATCCAACTATATATATATATATATATATATATATATATATATATATATATATATATATATAAGTTTCACCGTTTATATGATGTCACCTTCAGTGATTTGAAATTGGTTCCGTCAAAGATAAAAACGCTGGAATGAAAAATCAGTTGGTTAACTACACACAGAACACGGAGAAATCTACTACAACTAATACTATGCAGAGAGATATGCAAAATATAAGAAATACATTTTATGACCTAAATATTACATATTTAAAAATATACATTTAATCTGAAAGTATAAAATTATGTACAAAAAATATGTAGTTAAAAACATAAAATTGCATACAAAATATTTAGATTTCGGTATTAAATAATCGAGTAACAGAACTAATTTCAACTCGGAATTAAATTCAAATCGGAACTAATTTCAACTCGGAACTAATTTCAACTCGATTTAAAATCCCTAACCTTAACCCTAACCACTAACACTAACATTAACCCTAATCCTTAGTTCCGAGGTGAAATTAGTTCCGATTTGAAATTAGTTCCGAGGTGAAATTAGTTCCGAGTTGAAATTAATTCTGCACCCCAAATAACCCATAGAGCTTGATATGCCACCAATGAAACAACATTCCACACCACATCAAATAGAAGGTTAGAAAAGACACATTCCATCAATAATGGAAGGAGCGATAAGAGCTACTGGACTTGAGAAATCTATTTTCCTAAAAAAATACTGTTTTAAGAGAAAGATTTTATAAATTAAAATCGAAAACAGTATTGACTTCTCGGTCAATAAATTCGAAATATATTCCTTCTAGTGAAGCAGCTAATATTACCTTACCATTAATACAGGTTTATTGCATCGAAATCCAAGGTTAGGTTTTTCAATTCAGGATTCGATAGAGAATGAATTATCGAAGCCGACAGCTAGACTGATGGCATTGAAATGGTGAGCAAATAACATGCAAACTAACAACAGTTCATCAATCACACACATCTACCCGTGGAAATGACACGCCATCAGAATTTACAGGGAAATCGAGTGAAAAGAAGATAATGGAAAGCGAAGTTTCAATCAATTCTGATAACCTCCATCGTACAAGCCATTCTTTTCCGTCTTCATATTCTTGTCCCATCTGGGAATACAAAACAAACTCCGTTCATCCATGTTGTCTGCCTTTTCAGTCTTATCCAGTAAGAAAATTACCCATCATAAGATTTTAACATGTTTCTTTTGAAAAGCAAATTCCTCTAGTATATATTTTCCTTCTGGTGGATGAAGCATTTTCAATATTTACATTATTTAGACTATTGACCACATCTTTGTTGCCATATTCATCACAACCTTTCGGTCGTTGTACGCTCCGGCCTTCTTCAGGTGATTGGAATGTCGAACTTAACCCTTTATTTCGCTCGCTGTTCTAGTTCCACGTGCTATGTCTAATGGACGTCAGTTATCAGTTATCTCCTATTAATCCACCTCTCCAAGTTCTCCATTGCCTTAACCAGGTATTGAACTCACAATTCTTTGGGTCCTGTCACTGGATCTAAGCAACGCCTTTATCCAATGTACCATGTGTCCTTAAGCGAGTAGAGTAAAGGGTTTAGTTCGATATTTCAACCACCTGAAGAAGGCAGGAGTGTACAACGGCTGAAACGTTGTGATAAATGTGACAACAAAGATGAGGACAATAGTCCGAATAATGTAAATAGTGTATATAATACCTCATCTTTGAAATATAGATAGATACTTAAGTATTTTCATTTATTAATAATTTAAGATTAGTATTTATTTCATGTTAACCACAGTTGCTTTTGAACAGAAAATCAACATATTCTATTAATTGTTCCAATAAATAGGGCTTAACATAAATATTTAAGAAATAGAAATTATGATTTGGAGTTGGAATGAAAGCAATGATTGCATGTATCAGAAATCCGTCATAAAATTCAGGAGTATTCCCAAATACTAAACACTTCAAATATCTGTGTGTACAAATCAGTTGCAATAAAATCCAGTATACAAGATACGAAAGAATTGGCTGCGTTAGAAGTACTTTAATCAAACACAGCAAATTTCTACAAAGCGAAAACATCAACATAAAATATCGACTCATATTTTTAAATAGCCTCGTCAAATCGAGACTTTCATATGGCTTCCATGCAAGGCGATAAACCCGTTTCAAAATATTTGTCAGTTATGTACAACCGCTTACTCAGGTCACTGGATAAAATACCTTTGAGCGAGAGAAACCTGTGGGTTTTCGTGAAGACCACATTTCGAACCATGTGGACTTGCACTATAGAATTAGAAACAAAGAACTGCAACAATCTAACCATTAGCATTACTATTCTGCCTTCATTTCTACCCCTGGTATTAAGCAACCCGGATCGAATAGCTTACGGCGAAACATGCACTATCCTCAGGAAGTGTTACTGATTAAATCACAGGGCCTTCAACCTTTCCTTTCCGTTCTTAATGCAGTATGTTGCTGCATTACTTTTTCCTCTTTTTTTCTTTCTGTCTTTTTTTTAGCCTCTTTCGCTACTCCTTTTCTTTATTCTCCATTCTTAATGGCGCTGCTTTCTTTTCCCTTTTTTCTGTCTTTTGTTCATTCGTTTTTCTTTCTTTCTCTCCATTCTTATGCTTCAACTTCCACTTCTATTTTCCTCTTATTTTCTCACTCCATTCTTTTGTTTATACGCGTCTCTTTCTTTCTTTCTTTTTTTTAATTTTTTCTTTCTTTTTTCTTTCTTTCTTTCTTTTTTCTTTCTTTCTTTCTTTTTTTTTTTCTTTCTTTCTTTTTTCTTTCTTTCTTTCTTTCACTCGATTTTCTTTCTTTTTTCGTTCATTTTTCATTATTTTGTTCGTCTTCTTTTTTCTTTTGTTTGTTTCTCTTTCATTCGTTTAGCCTATTCTAATGCTTCTTTTTTTTGGCTTCTCCTTTCAGTTCCTCTCCATTTTTAATAACGGTTCTTTCTTTCTATCTTTCTTTCTTTTCTTTTATCTTTTTCATTTCTTTTTTTATTTCATTCATTCTTTTCATTTATTCATTCCGCTTTTCTTTCTTTCTTTCTTTCTGTTTGTTTTTTTGTTTCTTTTAGCCTGTCTCTAGTTTCTCATCTTCATTCAAATGGTGCTTCTTTTTTTTTTCTTTCTTTCTCCACATTATGTTTCAACTTCCGCTAATATTCATTCATTCATTCATTCTTTCTTTCTTTCTTTCTTTCTTTCTGTTTGTTTTACGTTGTTTCTTTTAGCCTATTCTTATATTTCTCTAGTTTCTCCTATCTTTGCCTTCCATTCAAAATGGTGCTTCTTTTTTTTTTCTTTCTTTCTCCTCATTATGTTTCAACTTCCGCTAATATTTTTACACGTATTTCTTCCCACTTCATTCTTTTTCTTTCTTTCTTTCTTTCTTTCTTTCTTTCTTTCTTTCTTTCTTTCTTTCTTTCTGTTTGTTTTACGCTGTTTCTCTTAGCCTATTCTTATATTTTTCTAGTTTCTCCTATCTTTGCCTTCCATTCAAAATGGTGCTTCTTTTTTTTTCTTTCTTTCTCCACATTATGTTTCAACTTCCGCTAATATTTTTACTCGTATTTCTTCCCACGTCATTCTTTTCTTTCTTTTTGCTTTCTTTCAGTATATCTAATCCTTAATCTTTCGCTTCATTTTCCCCTCAAATCATTCTTAATCATGCTTCATTCTTTCTTTCGTCCATTCTTTCTTTCTTAAGATTGTTTTAATTTCTTCCTTTTAGCATATTCTTATGTTTCTACTTTTCTCCTACCCTTTCTCCTCTATTCTTAATGACGCTTCTTTCTTTTTTTCTTTTTCTCTTTTTTTATGTTTCACCCTCTGCTTTTATTTTTATTTTTTTTTACTCTTACTTATTTCCACTCCATTCTTTTGTATCTGTCTATATTTCTGAGATGGGGTATCATGTACATTATTTACATTATTCGGACTATAGTCCTCATCTTTGCCGCCATATTTATTACAACATCCGGTCGTTGTACGCTCCGGCCTTCATCAGGTGGTTGAAATGTCGAACTGAACCCTTTATTTCGCTCACTGGGGCAGACTGTTCTAGTTCCACGTGCCATGTTTTAATGGATGTCAGCTATCAGTTATCTCCTGTTAATTTTCCCTCTGAAAGTTCTCCACTGCCTTAACCGGGTATTGAACTCACACTCTTTGGGTTCAGTCACTGGATCTAACCAACACCTTTGTAATGTCCCATGTGTCCTTGAGGACACAGCACAGGAGATAACTGATAACTGATATCCATTAAATCCATTTTATCCCTGGATTTCTATCCACTTCATTCTTCCTCTTAGTTCTTTCTTTCTTTCTTTCTTTCTTTCTTTCTTTCTTTCTTTCTTTCTTTTGTTTGTCCGTCTTTGTTTCTTTCTTTTATCCGATACTTATATTTCAACTTCCACTTCTTTTTTTCGCTTATTTCTTTCCTCTACATTCATTTCTTTCCTCTCCTTTCTTTCTTTCTTTCGTTCTTTCTTTCTCTCTTTCTTTCCTCTCCTTTCTTTCTTTCTTTCGTTCTTTCTTTCTTTTGTTTTTCCGTCTTTCTTTTATCCCATTCTTATGTTTTAACTTCCGCTTCTTTTTTCCTCTTATTTCTTTCCTTTCTTCTCCATTCATTTCTTTCCTCTCCATTCATTTCTTTCTCTTTTTCTTTCTTTCTTTTCTTTCTTTCTTTCTTTCTTTCTTTCTTTCTTTCTTTCTTTCTTTATTTTCTTTCTTTTCTTTCTTTATTTCTGTTTTTTGCTCTTTCTTTCTTTTTTTATTTGTTTATTTATTTATTCTTTCTTTTTTTCTTTCTTTTCTTTCTTTCTTTCTTTCTTTCTTTCTTTCTTTCCTTCCATTCATTTCTTTCTTTTTTTTCTTTCTTTTCTTTCTTTCTTTCTTTCTTTCTTTCTTTCTTTCTTTCTTTTTCTTTCTTTCTTTCTTTCTTTCTTTTTTTCCCCATTCTTATATTTCAACTTCCGTTACATTTTTCCTCTTATTTCATTCCATTCCATTCTTTCCTTTCTTTTCTTTATTTATTTATTTATTTATTTATTTATTTTCTTTCTTTTCTTTTCTTTCTTTCTTTCTGTTTTTTTTTCTTTCTTTTTTCTTTTCTTTTCTTTCTTTTCTTTCTTTTCTTTTTTTTTATTTGTTTATTACAACAAAAACACAATATTTATTCATTTTCTTTCTTTTCTTTCTTTCTTTCTGTTTTTCTTTCTTTCTTTCTTTTATCCCATTCTTATATTTCAAATTCCGCTTCTTTTCCCCTCTTATTTCTTTCCTCTCCATTCATTTCTTTCTTTCTTTCTTTCTTTTCTTTCTTTCTTTCTTTCTTTCTTTCTTTCTTTTCTCTTTCTTTCTTTTATCCCACTCTCATGTTTCAACTTCATGCTTCCATGTTTCTTTTTCTCTTTTGCTCGTTCGTTTTTAATTCTTTCTTTCTTTGAGCCTATTATTACCTTTCTGGTCAAACAAACCAGTAAAACATTTAGAATATCTGGAAAAGTAATAAATAGCATAAAACAAAATCCATATAGCAGTCATGACATACCAATCAGGAAAGAATAATCATTTTTAGATTTTTTTCCAGAGGGCAGCCAACACAGATGGAAGATTTGAAAAACACATGGACGGAAAATTTTAAAAACCAACAGAAAAAGAATCTAAATATAGCATTTATTTTGGGAAACGATGTATTTTTGCTGAGAAGACGGCAAATATACACAATTCGGAAAAATGGAAACGTGTCATCGAGTTAACCCACTAACGAGGAGTTCATTCTTATTTTTGTGACGGTAGGCATTGATAGATTTTCATAAGGCCCTATAATTAATACCAAGTTTTTATAAATTTGCATATATATAGTTAATAATTATTACGGACCTTGTCCATTTCTTATATATATATATATATATATATATATATATATATATATATATATATATATATATATATATATATATATATATATATATATATATATATGCAATCTTCAGGAGTTAAGTTTATCATTGACATAACTGTTCCAATCCAGAATAACCGTTTGGTTTATTGGAGAAGTAGATGAGAAACACACACACACATACACAGATATAGACACGCATATATATATATATATATATATATATATATATGGGGTGAGGGAGGTAAATGTCAAAGATATTTTACTTATATTTCTACAAATTACTTATATAATTATAAATTACTTAAATAACTCCTAACACCAGTGTAAAGTACGCAGGTGTAGACTTTAAGAAAGATTTATGCAACTAAGAATATAAGTTTCGCGTCTATTGTCCTTTTATGGTCCCAGTAAACAGAAATAGCAATTTCAAAGAGGAGAGTAACAAAACAAGGGGATACCACTCTTGATTATTCTTAATAACCAGCAACAAAAAATTCATAATCCTCTACCTTCTAATACTTTATTTAGAAAATTTTTAAATAAATTAATTACCCCCAGAAGTAAGGACTTTACCACCATGTCCCAGAAAATCGTCCATACACATTGATATCAGATTTATTTTAGAAATCTTTACTTAATAGTGCATCTTATTTTTTTTTATATTTATCGATTTTCCTGTATATATCTAACAATAAAACATAAAAATCGTATTTATTGGGTTTATCCAAAGTAAATTCGTATTAGACCCAGGTTTGTTACAATGAAGCGATATGAAGAAAACCATTTGAAACTTCGTAAGTGAAAAGCGTAAGTGTCGCACATCAGGGGTTATTATACACAGAGGGCCGGCATTCCCTTAAGCCTTTCTTACCCCCAATAAAAAAATAACAAAACTGTTGACGCTTGCTTAACCAATGCCAGAAACACAATGTTTTACTAGATGCCTCTATTAGGATATATTTGTGTTAAATAATCTTGCGGTCTGTGGCAAACTTTCTGTAAGTGATGTGGCTCGTCTAACTGTTTAAGTAGCCAGCCCTGATCTAATGTGATATTCCCCTGTTAATCTACTCTATAAATTAACGAAACTAGATTTATAATCTCATGGGATATTCAGTAAATAATGGTTTGAATTTCTGAATAAATAGCGAAACGCTAATTTATTCAGAGTCTCGATTTGAGGAATTCAGCCACCGCCGCCTTAGTGGGCAGGTCGATACGGCCTTCTTGAAGTGCTGTGAATCTGGAGAATTTGACCAAAAACTTTCATATGGTATTTATTTATTTTCTACATCTACTGAGCGGTCGTAGATTCAATAAAGAATGTAGTACTGAAATAACAGCCAAATGAAGCAAGTCTCCGTGTCCAATGTCTGAAATCATTGCAATTCCAACAACCGACAATTCGGAGACTAGTTCGATTAAAAATTGTATAATAATGGTAATTCTTTATTTAAGAATTTCAGACAGAAAATATCCTTACGAGTGTTGGTTTTTAATATCGGTAATATAATCTCTTCGTTATTGTCTCTTTGTTTTCGCTCATTCAGTCTTTCAAGCCGACTTTGCAGGAATTCTTTTCAGCCGAAGCATCATCGCCCATCTTCGATCCTCTTCTTCTTTCTCCTTGCTTAATCTTCTCTTTCCATTTGCCGAATCGATATCTTTTATCGCCGTCCGCTCAAGACGGTGATTGGCTTCTAGTCACGAGTCCCAATCTCTCATGCTCCTGACAATGACAACTTGCTATTTATACAAATTCAATTACATTAGTCTAACGAAAGCGCGGATCCAGCCCACTGCACTCGACAGTCCACTCGCTATCTATAGCTTTCTTACATTACTTGGCAGTTCTCGCACTGAAGGGTCACGAAGCGGCCACTGCAAACATGAACTGAGGAAGATATAAAGAGTTCTATCGACGTCGCTGCGTAGATTTTATATCTCGAGAACAATCATTGTTATGTTCATAAATATTGATATAAAGTCATTTTATGTGTTTATACATAGCGAACTTCTTCATGGGTTTTAAATTTATAAGGTATTTTATAACCTTGTTAATCAAATTGGTTATTTGGTTTATAAATATCGAGAAAAGGGCGATATCACGCTGGCACACTAATCAGCACGTATTTATTAGTTGCTGTGTATCATATAATTTATATATATATATTATAAGCAAGAGGGGAAAAGGAAATGGAAATGAGTAATTTGAATATAAAAGAAAACAGGAATTGTAGAATAGATTTATAGTCATGATAGGATAAAGGACAAATAGGAAACGTTTATAAATCTAACACATTTTGTTCATCAGAGAAGAAATATTGAGAAAAAGAAAAAGAAAAGAGTAAAAATTCTGGTATAATTTTTTAGTCTAATGAAATTCATTGTAAACAGATAAAAATTGACCAATGGATACGATGAGAAATCGAGTCATTAGGAATAGACAACACACACACACACAAACACACACACACACACACACACACACACACACACACACACACACACACATATATATATATATATATATATATATATATATATATATATATATATATGTATATATATATGAATTGGGATCAAATATGGATCGGAAATATTGGATAAAGAACAAATACCAAACGTTTATAAATCTAGCATGTTTCACTTTTATTAAAGCTTCATCAGAGAATCAAATAGAAAAAATTCTGATATTTTTATTTTAGCGATGTTTGTTTGATGTTTTTTTTTCATTGCTTAAGCAGACTTCACGTACATTTGACTAGTCAAGCAGCGTTTGTGTGTATAATTTTTTTTTTGTAAAAGTATCATATATCTATTGCGTTTGTTCGTGTGTATGTGAGTGGGAGAAAGAGAATGTTTTCTTGTGTGTGTGTGTGAGTGTCTGTCTATGTGTGTGTCTGTGGTAGGCATTATTTATGTTTGACGGTTGTTCACATGTTTATTTGGAGACGCTTTTACGTCAACATCAGTTGTGGAAGTTAAATATACATTGGAATCTTTAAGAATGGATTTAATAAAGATTGGTTATTTAATATAATGTTTTTAACGTGTCTTTCTAGTCGGTAAAGTTTTTATCAGAACTCCCTCGAAGTATTTTCAATGTAAAGAAGGTTCTTTTTTATTATTCGGGTGGTATTTGTAAAATCAAAGATATGGATAATGTTTTTCCTGTATTATAAGAAAATTTAAATGGTTGTCCAAAAACAATGTCCTTCTAATGTTCACAGGTACCCCCTTTGCACTTCGAGACGTTGATAAATTGAACAAATACAATAGAAAATTAAACAAACAGACCTTATCGGGTGAATTTAACAAAACTTGTTTGTACATACACACACACACACACACACACACACACACACATATATATATATATATATATATAATTATTTATTCGAAAATTATAACAGAAATATTTTATAAAATCACTAGAAAAATAGCCATTTTATTTGAACACTTCTGGTGTCTTATCAAGTGATGGCGTTGAATGTAGAATTTATTCTACATTCAAAACCATCACGTGATAACACCAGAAGTGTTGAAACAAAATGTCTATATTTGTAGTGATTTTATAACATTTATGCTAGCATTTTCGAATAAATTAGTATATTCGCTCGAGTTTGTATTGAGCACTCTATCAAGAATAGTATTTGTTGGTTATTGGAATTTAATAATCTAATTAAGTATTTGTTGGTTATTGAATTTAATAATCTATTTAATTAATCTTATACTTGGAGATATATATATATATATATATATATATATATATATATATATATATATATATATATATATCAATGAAGATATTAGTGGTGGTATAAAACTTAGTGATCGGCATAATTAGACAAAAAATTATTTTTATTACCACTCATGATAACAATTAAAAGGAAAAAATGAAAAACGAAAAGTAAACGGTTTCGAATTTGGATCAACAGATCTACATCGAGGTTAATAAAGGTATAATAATCAATAAAAGATGGGCAATATGTAGGGAAAAATTCTTAAATGGAAGTTAATTGGAAGCCCAGAACAAAATCCTTCTGTTACAAAGGTTTAAAGGAAGAAAAAGATATGGCGTCCAATATTTCAAAGTGGTTATCTGAGTGAGAACTTACTGAGAACGGAAAACGAGTTCACACTAAAATTAACGGCCCAGTTATCGTTATTTATCAGATGGTACAGGTCTTCCATCGCGGATCACCTGATAAATAGCCATAATATATCTTTAACTATATTTCAGTATCTCAGTTGTTAGAAGCAAACAGCCGATCTCATATATGATTTTATTTTATTGTTGAAGGCTTACGTAGATCCAGTCACACCTTTAAGAAGAAGCGAAAACAAAGAAATATGCACATAATATGCCACAAGTGCTCCAAACGATTTTCCTGATTTTTTTTTTTTCAATTAACAAGTTTTCTTCCCCAAGACTGGTTGCCAAACATGCCAATAGGACACATTTTGTCCTGTTACTTAGCCATAGATTGGGGGAGAAGAGGTAGATCCGTACCAAGTGCATTTGTGCGTAAATGAATCTAAAATAATTAACTGGGATTCGGACTCGGCTATCCAGTTTCTCAATCAGAACGGCGTATATATATATATATATATATATATATGTATGTATGTATGTATCCCAGTGAGGGATATTTTTATGGCGCTTAAGTGTCGGGAGGATTGTCTTTTATTATTGTCTACTTGTAGGCGCGCCATGAAAATATCCCTCACTGGGAACTAACTAGAGAATGACCGCCAACATTAGCGTTGAAATAGATACCCTACACAACCTTAGCAAAACCTCTCAGAAGATGGTGAATCTATAGATAAGAATTAACTTTCTGACCACCTAACGAAGAAAACTAGCCTAGCCACTCCCACAATAACGAATGTTATAACGGGCCATGCCTAAAAAAACACGTAAACCAAGAGATAGCTTATTCCTAAAATTTCGCTTGAAGATGAAACGGGACAAAACACCTCAATTCAACTTAATTATAATAGTTATTTGGAGGGTTTCGGCTCTCGTTTTTGAAACATGAGAACTCTTATGTAGCGGAGGAATCATATTTTTAAACAAAAAATTATAATATATATATATATATATATATATATATATATATATATATATATATATATATATGAATAAAAATATCAGTAGGAAAACTAATAATTGCTGACGCGTTTCGTCCAATGTGGACTTTATCAAAATACGAAATGAATTTAATTGAACAATGTAACTAATAAAAACAAAAACAAAAAAAAAAAAAAGCAACTGGAATGTAGAGAAACGCTATTTTCATATTGTTAAATGAAAATAACGTCAGTATTTGTCACGTGTGGAGAATATTGTCATCATATCTGTGTTGATGTATTCAACCATTTTCTTTTGATTTTATGAATCTGTTGTATACATTTATTTGTGAGAGCAGTAATTTTGTTAAGAAAGGTGAAATGGACGAAACGCATATATTAAATAAAAGGCAGAAAATAGGGATACAACATAGAATGAGAGATAAAATTAAAAACAATGAGAGTGCGGTGATGTTTTATGTGTGGGATTGACATCGAATATATCTATTTTGTTATTGAGGCAATGAATGTTGATTAAATGAAAGAATGTCGAGTAATTTTCCTGTATTCGTACAAACTGAGAAAAAGAACCATTTTTGCATCAAATCATTACATGCGATGAGAAATGAATAATCTTTGACAATAGTAGGGGAGTAGACCGGTGTTTACATGCAAGTGAATTACTAAAACAATACCGAAAACATTTAAAAGATATCTAAAAAGTTAATGGTTACTGTATGGTGATCTTTCAATGGGGTTATTCATTATTCATTGTTGCCTAGGGTAAAAAAAAACAATAACCACAACCTATTATTCAAGTATAAGGTAAGTAATTTTCCATTTTTGTTTCCACACACACACACACACACACACACACACACACACACACACACACACACACACAACACACACACACACACACAAAAAACTCACACACATATATATATATTTTTTGTAAGCATATAAGGACTTTGTTTCTATACTCATGCTGCCTAAATATACATTATATATATATATATATATATATATATATATATATATATATATATATATTCTAAAATGAATCTTTAAATTCTAAGTGAGAAGATATACATTATGAAATAAACTGATAATAAAACGATTTCTGACCTAGCTTCATATTGCCTATGCGAAGAATATATATATATATATATATATATATATATATATATATATATGTGTGTGTGTGTGTGTGTGTGTGTGTGTGTGTGTGTGTGTGTGTGTGTGTGTGTATATATATATATATGTGCGTGTGTATAATAATAATGCATTCTCCTCATGTTGACTGAGTCTAAATGCTTTCGCTGTTTCAGAGAATTTGTCAAGGATAGTTTGAATGTCTTCTAGACTATATACTAATAGAGTGGCCAGGTCTATAATCACCAACAATTTTAGGGAGTTTTAAAGAGTTCTGTTCAGCATTATTAGCATTAATAAGTTTATTAAGCTTTGATTTTAGTTGGTTAGTCGGGTTCTTGTTAAGTTTTTTAAACTTTATGTGATCATGGAGTATGTGGTCTAGTTTTTTGTTGTAATCCAATTTGTTTAAGATGACAAAAATGTTGGTCTTATCAGCTTTTTTTACAATAATGTCAGGGTGGTTACGTAGTTCTTGTGCGGCAACTGAAAATTGGCTACAAATATGGCACTATAAAAACACATAAACCTAACTATCCTCTCCGTCCTATCATATCGCAAATTCCAACTCCTGTATATCATCTAACAAAATACATCAACCAACTTATTACTCCCTATCTTCCTAGTAAATATAGTGTTAAGTCAACATTAGAAGTAATCCAAATCCTAAAAAGTGAA